GGGAGTAGAGGAAGAAGGGATAAACAAGAGAAACTGATCTGAAAATGAAGAGAGAAAAGAGTTAGGGCTTGGAAAGAGAAAGGGAGATGAGAAATAATTCTGGTAGTGTGAATTTATGTTGTGGTTCACCAAGCAAATCCAAGAACTTCCTATAGCACAACCCAGAAGTGACTCTCTTTACCTACAGCCACAGGGAGAGTTGGGCTTAATGATAACAGGTTAGGGAATTGTAAGATACAGGAAGAACTATCATGATTAAGCTGCCTGTAGGGAAGCCAAAATGAAAGTAGGTTCTTTAAATTGAGGTCCAATGAAGGCACAAGGCAGGGCTGTGGCTATTTCTGGGTGTGGCGAATGGAGAAAAAAAATCACCTGATTCCCTACCCTGAAGCCAGCTTTCTGTCTCCACTTACCAATGGCCTTCTGGCAGTTGAGAATCTTGAAGCCATTGTACATGCAAGCCGCCAGGAGTAGGTGGTGGTGGACTGGGTGCCACTTGAGCCTCCACACGCCTCCTTGTACCAGCATATCTGCCAAAGGTTGCTCTGTGTTCCGAATGTCCCACAGCAGAACATGCTCATCATAGCTGCAAGCATCCAACCATTGGCATACATGGAAAACCCATGCTCACGTTTTTTCCAAGACTTGTGGTAGTAGCAAATACATCCCAAGTCCTGTCCCACTAATTTTTGAGACAGGGTCTCATTATGTAGCCTTAGCTGACCTGACTCACTTCAAACTCATAGATATCCCCCTGCCTCTGCCTCACTAGTGCTGGAATTAAAGTCCTGCACAACCTGTCCGCCCCACTTATCTTTAAGAATATATAGGTGAGCCCCAATTCTGGACCCAGATATCTGAACCCAGATATCTGGACCCAGCTATCTGGGTTGGTTGAGAATTTTGAAGTCCTCATGAATAGGTGAGAAATGCACAGATGAGCAAATCCACTTCAGGGACTCACCTGCCAGTAGCCAGTATGTGTTCCTGATGGGGGTTGCACTGGATACTGCACACACCCATGGTGTGTCTGTAGGCAAAGGGGAACAAACAAGGTAGAGGTGAAATGTCTAAAGACAGGAACATGGAGGGGCCATACCCAAGCTCTGACCCTGGCACCAACTACCTTTTGCTAGTGAAGACAGGTATGTTAGGCATCCTAGTATCCCAGCCTCTCAGAAGGCAGTCATCTCCCCCTGTGAAAAGACAGAAGTCCATCAATGAAGACATTAAACATGAGGAATCTGCATGAAAGTCTCTTGGGGCATGTGCCTTTCTTGTGTGATTGTATGGTACCACTAGTTAGAAAAGCCCCAGAGAGAACATCAGAAACAGTCACTAAGCACTCTAGCTTCTAATTAAGGGGACCTGGGTAATAAATCCAAATGCTGTTTACTACTCTAAAGGCAGTTGTACCTGGTAAAATGGAGCTGATAAATGAGATGGACTAGCCAGGCTCTAATCCCAACGCTTGGGAGGCAGAGACAGGCATATCTCTGTGAGTTCGAGGCCAGCCTGGTTTACAGAGTGAGTTCCAGGACAGGTAGAGCCATGCAAGGAAACACTATCGTGAAAAACCAAAAAGGTAGTATGACATCAGGTATTCTAATTATGAGAATAACTATTAAGTCAATTTGGCCATATCACCTTCTAGGAGGATTCTAGTTTCATGACCTCCAAGGGCCAGAGTGGCCATATCCAAGACTCCTGCCAAGGAGCAACATGAAAGAAGCAGTGGGCATGAGACTAAAGTAGGTCCTTTTGGACCCTTCAGCACATTCCTATGGGCTGTAAAGAGAAATATTCTATTTAAGTTTAAAAGAAAAAAAAAAAAAAAAAAGATTCTCAGCCTGGCATGGTGGCACACGCCTGTAGTCCCAGTACTCGGGGAGACAAAGGCAGGCAGATCTCTATGAGTTCAAGGCCAGCCTAGTCTACAAAGAAGCAAGTCCAGTACAGAGAAGGCTATACAGAGAAATCCTGTTTCGGGGTTTTAATTAATTAAAAAAACAAAAACAAAAACAAAAACAAAAAAACTCGGGGATGGAGAGGTATCTCAGTGGTTAAGAGCACGTATTTCTCTTACAGAAGGACTCAAGTTCAATTCCTGACACCCACATCAGGATGCTGAAAACCACCTGTTAACACCAGCTCCAGGAGATCCCATGTCCTCTTCGAGCCTCCACAGGGGCAGGCTTGCTCTCGAGTGCGTATACACATGCACACACACACAAACACACAAATGTTTTTTGGTTTATTTGAGACATGGTTTCTGTGCGTAGTTCTGGCTGGCTGGCCTTGAACTTACAAGACCTGCTTGCCTTTGCCTCCCAAGTGCAGAATGCTCGGAATAAAGGCGTGCACCACCACTGCCTGGCCACACACACAGTCTTAACAATAAAACAAACCTTGTGCTGGTTTTAGGAAAACTAAAAGAAGCAATAGGACAACTAGCCTCTTGGTCAACAACTAGTCTTTAAAGAAAAGCAATGCCAAGAAAAAAAGGTTAAAAAAAAAAAAAAACTAACAACAACAACAAAAAAAAAAACAAACCAAAAAACAAAAAAAACCAGCATCCTGACAGAAGCCGGGGAAAAAAGACTCAAGAATAGGGCCAACAGGATGGTGAAGAAGGGTAGAGAGAAAATGCTGGGCAGTGTCTACTCACACATCATCAACCTGCCCAACCATCCACTATCGAGCCAATGCCACACCCATCAATCTACCCACCATCTAACATCTACCCATCCATCCATATACCTATCTACTAAATATTTGCTGAATATACACTGTAGATCCCTGTGATAGATACAAAAGTCTACAGTTAAGTGGATAAGCTGAGCTAAACACGAAGCCAGGTGAACCTAATATACAAGTCATGGTTCCTGGACAAATCTGTATAGAGGACTGTGTTCTTCCTTTGTTCTATTACATTTATACAAACATAAACATGCACCCCATCTTTATCAAGAAATCCAACTAGATCTGCCTTCACATGGACCCCAAATCTACTTCTCACCTCTATTCCTAACTTAGTATAAACCATTCTTTCTCTTTTCCTTTTTGTGGCACACACCTTTAATTGCAGCAGAGGATTGGGCGGCAGAGGCAGGTGGATCTCTGTGAGTTTGAGGCAAGTCCGATCTACAGAGTGAGTTCCAGACCAAGAGAGCCAGAGCTACATAATGAAATCCTGTCTCAAAAAAATAAAGTAAAAAATACATTAAATAAAAAAGTTTTATGTATGTGTTTTGCTTACATGTGGCCTCCCAATGCCCATGGAAGCCAGAAAAGGGTATCAGATCCCCTAGAACTGGAGTTACAGTTGTGAGCTGCCATGTGAATGCTGTAAACAACCCAGATCCTCTTGCAGGAGCAGCAAGTGCTCTTAACCTCTGAGCCATCTCTCTAGCCCATTTTAAATGGTTTTTATAAAGTTCTTTAATTCTAGGATTAGTTGTACCTTGAGGTAGATTCAGAGCTACAGAGTTACACTGTAACAATCTCTGATACTTCAAGATGAGCTTATTCACTCATCAGTGAATTCTGAATTTTAAATTTTAAAATTTAATATTCTGTCATGGTGGCTCACTTCTGTAATCCTAACCCTTGGAAGGTTAAAAGGGAGTATTGCTTTGAGTCTGATGTTAGGCTGGGCTACATGTACAACCAGACTGTCTGAAAACCAAACCAAACATAATAACCTTTATTTTCTTCAACAACAACAACAAAATGAAACAAAAACCCTAAAAACAAAACAGACAAACCTCCTCCAAGCTAAAAAGATCAAAACCAGACAAAGCCACAAACAGAAATACAAGCACTGTTTACGTAATAGGGGCACCTTAGCAAACAGACTATTTTCTCCAAGCTTACACTGAATGGGGAAAAGTAGAAGCCTAATGTGTTACAACATAGGGAAATGCATAGAGTGTTAAAGGTGTGATAATGCTGTGAGAAAAGAAGGAAGCAGAGTGTGCGGGGGTAGCTGCAGATTGTCCTGATGCAGTGCATTATGCAGTAAGCAGTGTGACCACATAGCAGGTGTGGGCCTGGTGTGAGAAAAGAGCAGCCACCACAGCCAGTGTGAATAGAGAAGGGCTTGAGATGAGAGGCAACAAGGACAGGCCTCAGGGCTTTGCAGGCTACAGGAGGAATTGGAATGAAGTGGAGTAACTGCAGAGAAGAGACATCTTCTGACTTACAGCTAAAATTTAAGAGGATCTCTGCTTAATTATAGAGTACAAAACAGGAGGGCAGAGAGCCTGGAGCTTATAACCAAGGGAGATTCCAAAGGTTCTTCTAAAGATTCTGAGTTCAATTCCCGGCAACCACATGGTGGCTCAAAACCATCTATAGTGAGATCTGGTGCCCTCTTTTGGTGTGCAGGCACACATGCAGGCAGAGTGCTGTACAAATGATTAAAAAAAAAATAAATCTTAAAAAAAAAAAACAAAAATGAAACAAAAACATTCAAGACTATGATAACAAATAACACAGAGAAGGACCCTACCCTTGGAAAATAAAAATAAGAATTCACACAATAATAATAATCATAGTTAGTGCTGGGGTCCATGACACATGGACTGAGTTGATGAAGCAAGCATTGGTGCCACCCCCTCACTACAAAGAGAACCAAAAACCAGATGTGGTGGTGCCCACCTTTAATTCCAGCACTGTGGAGGAAGAGGGAGGTGGAGTTAAAGGCCTTGCTGCATAGTGAGGTCCAGGACAGCAGGATACACAGAGACCTTGACTCAAAAAACAAAACAAACAACCAAACAAAAATGACAGAAAAGAGAGGCTGGGACCAGATCACACATGTCCTTGGAAATAGCAAAATTTTATCCTGTCTGCTCTACTCTTTCCTGCTCACATGACTTAGCTTCACCTGGGAGAGAAGACACCCAAAATGGCCAATTTTGTTAATTTCTCATTCTCATACAAGTAGCCCCAAAGTACAACCCACTCAAAAATTAGGAAATCTACCTCTTTCCCTCATGCTTCCTTTCCTTTTGAAAGGTAAACTATACCTAGAAAAGAACAACCCTGAAAACAGTTTGCCAAAGTCTACAGAGAGCAAGCAAAGTGTGAACACTGGATGACAAGATTTCAGTAAGAGCACCATGAAACAGGACAGCTTGGCAGTGCGCCTGCTCCCTTCAACCTTGGCCAGCTTTACAAAAAGCCTCAGGTGTCAAAGGCCAACTGTGCACTCTTCTTGAGAAGTGGGATGTATGGCAGCCATAGCTGCTAGCCAGAGGGTGTACCTTCTACAGATAGTCCTAAGGCCTCACATATTCTGAATCACACCTTTGGCCTAGTCCCATTCTCTCCCCCCTCTGTCCTTTACAAGTCTTTGTCAGAGATAACTGTACTGATGTCCAAGAATACTCACCTGAATATACGAGTTCTGTCTGCCAGTAATTGAAAGCAGCAATCCAGGCCTCAAAGTGATGGGCTGGCCATGAAGCCACAAGCTGTAGTTCAGCTGCTCCCTCATTTACCATCAGGAGGTGCAACTGCCCCTTAGAATCACTGCTAATGATCTTCAAGGGCTGGTTTCTGGCCCTAGAAACAAGGAGCCATTGTAGAGGCTGTTACACTCTATTTACCACACTTACTTTTCTGGTTTTTATTTGTTTGTTTTAAGATTTATTATTTATACAGTGTTCTGCCTGCATGTGTGCCTGCACTGCAGAAGAGGGCACCAGATCTCACTATATAGATGGTTGTGAGCTACCATATGGTTGCTGGGAACTGAACTCAGGACCTTTGGAAGAACAGCCTGTGTCCTCCTAACCTCTGAGCCATCTCTCCAAACTGTTTGTTTTTAAGATAGGCTCCATGTAGCGCAGGTGGGCCTTAAACTTGAAATACACCTGCCTCACCTCCTGCATGCTGGCACTACAAGAAGGAACCACAACAACCATCTTCTACTTCCCACATATGCCCCAGGAGATATTTCCATATAACCAAGCTTCAGAGACAGCCTCTTTGGTATCTGGCAAAGGATCAAACTATCACATACTTTGTCACTGAGAAAGTGTGGTTGGCTTCTCTTCATGATGGCATCATCACTACTTATATAAGTATATACCTATGATTTTCAATTTTTAACATTTAACAGTGACATACAGGTTTGGGGAACCAAGCAAGCAAAAGGTAGCCTTAATCCTTTCTGGAACAGAAAGAGGAACCATTCCTCAGGAGACTCAGATCACCAAACCTGGCCCTTACCTTACAGACTTTCCAGTGGACCAATCCAGTGACAAGGACAGGCACCTCTCCTCCAGGGTGAGGCTAGATATTGGCTGCAGGGTATAACTGTTTTTCTACTGGAAAGAAAATGAACACCACTGTGTAGGCAAGCCTCCAAATCCTAAAGTGCTCCCTACTTGAGCAAAACTACTTATGTTTGTTTTTGGGTCTCCTAAGTTGCTCAGATTCATCTTAAACTTTCCAGTTCAAACAGTCCTTTTACTTTAGCTCCCCAAGTACTTGGGAGTAGAGGCAGGCTTGGCCTTGTGTGAGTTTTTATTATTTTTATTTAAGTTTTAATAGTGCTAGATAGTGCTGGAGGTCTCATGCATGCAAAGCAAGCAGTCTGCCACTAGGCTCTACCCTCAGTCTCTAATGAGCATTTCATCTAACAGTGAGCCCCTGATACTTCTCAAGCAGAGGGCAGCACCTGAGGACATGGGCTCTCATACCTTAAGAAAGACTTTGACATATACACAACCTCTGAGCAAAAGGCTTCTAAGCATTGCCTTTGTGTAATCTAGACACATTAGCCATATTTGTGGGCTCCACAAACTGCTGCTGGCACATGCTCTACATCACCCTTTCTTTCAGAACCCTGGCACACTTTACTACTTTAGAGATAAGGGAAATAGAAACGTTCTACTACTTCCATTTCAGAAGCCAAAATAGCTATTAAAATGTCACTTCTCTCATTTAGGATCTATGACTTTTACTGTCTAAACCACCTGATTAGTGTTTGACTCATTCGATAGGACACTGTACCAAAGTCCATTCTTGGGATTTGTGCTCCTGCCTTGAAATCGGGTCTTTGGGCCCAGTCCTCCTTCCCTCATTTCTAGGACAAGGCTGTACTGTGCAGATCTAAAGCAAGACTTTCTACCAAGGTGCTCAGTTGTCACCAGTCAGCACCATCTAGGTTTTTACCCTGACCACACTAAAGCAGCAGCCATTGGTATGTGTCCCTGCCTCCCAATTAAGGAAGTCTGTAGTTTGTTAATGTACCCCTCTTAACCCCACAGATATGCTCTGGTCATTTCCATAATAATCAGATAAGGTCATTTTGCAAAAGCATGGCACAGGATCATTGCAAAACACTTGGGGGGGGGCAGTCACTTAGGAATTCAGCTCTTCAGTACTTGTAAAAGAATATAATTTCTGGGCTAGAAAGATGGCTCAGTGGTTAAAGCTCTTCCTACTTTTTCATAGAACAAGAGTTCAGTTCCTAGCATCCTGATACATTCTTCTGGCCTTTGTGGGCATGGCACTCACATACACAGCCCCCTCACACACCCAGCCCTATATACACAATTAAAAATAAAAACAAAATCTTTTCTAAAAGACCATTTCCAAATGAGAAATTTACCGGTATTCTTCGACCCAGTATATATCCAAGACAGGCTTGTAATGCATTCCCTAAAGAACCCAGACCTGCCAACATGACACCCTTCCATTAGGATACTCCACGTGGTCTCATCTTACCAGCACCCAGCACAACTTCACAGGCTTCATGATTTCTTTTTCTTCCTTTCTTTTATTTTATTTTATTTTTTTTTTGAGACAGGGTTTCACTGTGTAGCCCTAGATATCCTAGAACTTGCTCTGTAAACTAGGCTGGCCTCCAACTCAAAGAGATTGCCTTCCTGTGCTGCAAAAGTGTTGGGATTGAAGGCATGTGCTACCACTGTCCAGGTGACTCCATGATTTCTTGAAACATCTATGACAAAGCTACCATGGAAGAGACCATTCTAGAAAAAAAGTCTGGGGCTAGACAGATGGCTTAGCAGTTAAGAGCATTAACTGCTCTTCCAGAGGGCCCTGGTTCAATTCCCAGCACCCACATGGCAGCTCATAATTGTAACTCCAAGATCTGACACTCTCACACAGACAACATGCAGGCTAAACACAAATGCACAAATGCAATTTAATAAATTAATTAAAAAAAAGAAAAATGTATCAGGATAGACTTCAACACTCTCAACTAAGGTCCACTTCCCATCACTGACCTCACATTCCACCAATTGGAGCAGCTCTAAAGATCCACTGGCATTTGCCAAGCATAAAAGCACGTGGTCAGATACTGGGATATGGCACCTGATAGGAAAACACAGAAAAAAGTATGCACTCACAGCTTGGAAAGTACTTCATCAATCCCAAGGAATATTTCATTCTCAAAGCCAGGTTAGAGCAATTGTTCTGTCTCCAAGCAAAGGCTTTCTCCAGATTATAAAACCAGAACTCACATTGCTTCCCAGACTAATCCTGACTCTGGGGCTGGGAAACCGACCACGGAAATGTCAAGTCGTTCTCTGTTTCATTGAAGGCCCCTACGGGCATCAGGCTTTCAGACTAGGAAGGGTTACCCAAATCCTACCATTTCATGTCCAGGATGGCGGAAGAGTCCCTTCTTTGAACCTCAACCAGAGGTTTAGCCGTGCTGTCCTCGTTGAAACTGTACAGGTAGAGGCGACCTAAACGAACTTGAGGCTCACTGACATCCAGAGCAGTCTACAGAATATACATATTCTTTAGTTACCTTAACAGAAAGTGAGATCACAAAGAATGGGAAACCTAACTGGAACAAAAAGGAGGGCCAAGACAAAGAAGAGCTTCTAACTAAAGCAGAACCCTCAATTTCTGATAAAAGAATTTCTTTTCCTTTTAAGTGTTCAATAAACAAGGGAGCTCTTCGGCACCCGGCGCGGCAAGGACAGTCCTGACCTGCCTGTCACATGGCGCCAATTCTACTTAGGCGGTTGATTTTGGATGCTCAGTGAGACCTTCCAGAAATAGGAACGGTGCTGAAAGGTCCCACTTTACCCGTCTCATTAGTTTTCAGAGTTCTAGGCTTTTTAGGTCAGCAGTCCCTCTCCTGTGCCGGCCTCATCCTCCCAGCCATGCACCTGGTCCTCGGGCGCTCGCAGCTGGTAGGTTCCGCAGACCATTAGATGCTGACAACCCTCTACTGGGCACCATTCCACCGAGTCCGCAGTAAGCTCAGTGTCCACTGCCTGCAGCGCACGCAGGGTTCCCAGGCGTCTGCCCGCCATTGAGCCACAACCAAAAGATGTAAGCACAACACAGCCTCTCTACTTCCCTCAGTTACGGCCGACCCTCAGAAGAGATTTCCGGTCCGGAGAAACCACGGAGATGCTGCGCCCCCTACCGACCGGAGGACTGTAAGAAACCAATGCAGAGTCGGACCAAGAAGCTAGCGCTGAGGGAAACCTGATCTCAAGAAAATTCCTATATTGTAACAATACAGGAGATCAGGTTTTTAGGTTTTGTGGATCCAACTATGTCTCAAAAATATGTGCATGCTGAATTTTCTCAACAAAATGCTGCTCTAGATGAACTCTGATCCGATAGTCTTCATGTAAAGGAAAATTTGGAAACATGCAGAGGACAACGTGTGCCCTTTGGAGTCTGAAACAATGCATAAATGAGCCCAGGATGCGACCAGCAGCACCTTTTGTAATGTCTGTGATAGCAAACACCTAGATTAAACCATGAAACAGACCCAGCAGACAATAATCTCATTTTAGTCCATCCAGTTTTTGGCACTTAGTTACAACAGATCCAGGAAGTAAATTCACAGGACTCCTAGGTATCCATCCTGTAAACTGAAGCAGGAATATGGCTATATACGTAGCTTGAGACAGGTTAACAGCTAAAGCAGAGGTGGCACCTAGGGAGTTCTGAACAACTTCAATCCTTCCAACACTAGATACTTCCAAAGCCACATAGCCCAACATACTACACAAGGGAGAGAGTCTCATAATTGAACCACTAGAACATTCATAGAACAGCCCAGATAAAGAGCTACATAGAAAACGCGGAGATAATTAGATCAGGGATAATAACAGATATGAAGTAAAAACACGAAGTGGCCTGATAAGGAAGAGTTGAATGAAAGAACCCAATGTATACCAACACCTTCACTAGCAGTGCCTCCAGGTTAGCTGTCCAACCAAGTGCTTCTCTCTAGGTAGAATTTTCTGCTGCAAAGCTGACAAAGTAAAGCTGGCCCTGCTGGACAGGGCACAAAGGCAGGACACAGTGCCAACCTGGCCATTCCTAAAGATACAAGCAAGTATCACAGCCTGTAGTCTAGATGGCCCATCCCAAGAAATGTGACCCACCTGCCCGGGATCCCTTTACAACAATCCCTCAAGTATTGTATCCAAGTGGAGACATTAAAGGCTTGAGTCAGGTACTGTCTATAGTATTTTACAACATATTGACATAACTCCCTCTCCCAATGATTCCACATTGATTAATGTTCAACCTATGATCCAAGCAGGGTTCCGAACTATGTCAGCTAAAAACAACCATGACCTCCAGAATAAAAAAAAGGGATGTTTCTTGGTATAGGTCTGACATATGGACATTTCCCAAGTTAAAACATTGATGGGATGGTGCCATTATGAGTAGATGCTCTATTCATAAACCTAAGGCCATTAAAGCATTATGCTTGGCCAGAGAAAACACTGAGTAGTGAATCAAGGATGTGATAGATATGCTTCAACAGGGAAGAATGTTTAACAGGGACCTGTAGACCACCCAGAAGGCCAGAAGGCCAGGGAGCTGCCTCAGTCAGCAGTTGGACAGAAAGCTTGAAGCAGGAGGGACCATATCCTGAGAGAGGTAGCATTCCAGTCATAGGTAGGTTCACTCCTGGAGAGCACACAAGATGCCGAACAGCCCTCAAACATCTGTAGCTCCCTAAAAGATTTTGAGGACCACAGCTCAACAGTGAATGAACCCCTGGCTCTCCTTTGGCTGTGTAGATCCCACCCCATCTACTTCAACCCACAATTGGGACTGCGGCAGTAGCTTACTACCTCCCAGGGTCCCTGTGCTTAAAGCTGGTAATTTACCAATGTAGGGTTATATAGTACTTTGCTGACTAGTTTTGTTAACTTGACATAAACAAGAATCATTTTGGAAGAGGGCAATTATGAAAAGCCCCCACCAGATAAGCCTATGGGCAAGTCTGTCCTATTTTTCTTGAGTATTGGGATGGCCCAGCTCACTCTGGGCAGTGGCACCCCTGGGAATCCTGGGCTGTAAGAATGTAGGTTGAGCAAACCAGTAAGCAGCAGTCCTCCATGGCCTCTCCATCACCTTTGGTCCTGATTCCCTTCAGTAATGGACTATGATGTGGAACTACAAGCTGAAATAATCCCTTTTCCAGGTTGCTTTTTTGGTTGTTTTATCACAGCAACAGAAACTAAGATAAGTACCCTTCAGTAACTAAAGCAGTAGACAGTCTACCGGAACATTCTATAACACCTGCCACCAGAGAAAAGTCAAAGCCTTCCTTGCACTCTAGCTAACTTTCTCTGCCCCACCAGAGAACAAGTAATTGCAGGTCCTCCCAGTCCATCCATTATCAGTTCTTCTCAAAAATAAAGCTGAACCAGGCGTGCCAATACACGCCTTTAATCCCAGCACTCCGGAGGCAGAGGTAGGTAGATCTCAAGTTCAAGGCCAGGTTGGTCTACATAAGGAGTTCCAAGACTGCTAGGACTACAGAGACCCACTCTTAAAGAAAAAAAAAAAAAAAAAAAAAGGAAAGGAAAGAAGAAAGAGAGAGAAAGAAAGAAAAAGAGAAAGAAAGAAAAAGAAAGATGGACAGCAGGGGTTTGAGGAGCAGAGACTGGCCACAACAAGGATGATTCTACCCCTTTACTCTGCCTATTTAGACATGACTCTGTGCAAGCCTCTTGGTGGGACCCTCCCCCCCCCACTGCCCAGAAGAGAAGCTCAACTGCATGACAGTCTCTAGCTGAGTGGTGACTGTTTACCATTTGAGAAATACAACAAATGATTCTATTTGAAGTTGCTAACCCTTCCCCCTTGCCTCCCCCCCAAAAAAACTGTACATGAGTTTACAAACATATTAACATATAAATAATGAGAAAGGTCCTAGGGAGCCTCCCCGTTGTCTCTGCTGGAGGTGAACACTGGAGGGGCACTGTCCCCACAGGCTGCTTGTTGCTGTGCGGTCTTATGGCAGCTGCTCTGGATCCATTGCTGGCTTCTTTGGCACCTCCAGGTTCAACTGCTAGTCTGTCTTCCACTGTGCTCATGATGAGCGGGAACTTTGAACCTGCAGCAGTGGCAGCTCTTTAGCCCGTCATCGCTCTGGTTCAAGTTCATGTTGGAAGGGACGCTTCCTCTCCCGACAGTGCTTCTTGTGGGCAGGCCAGTCCTTCTGCTGGCACTGAGAGCCACAGTATCGAGCCACCTGGCATCGCCCACAGATGTTAAACTCTCGAAGCTGAAACACAAAACACTGGCTTCAATATCACACTAACGACACATATGAAAAGTATATCTTAGTATCTGGAAGACCATAATAAAACCTTATGTGGAAATGAAGTTCAGCATATGGTCCACATGCAAGGCCCTGGACTCAAACGCCAGTACTTGTTAGCTCTAAAAAAAAAAAAAATCCAGGCATGGTGGCTCATTTCTGTAATACCTAAGCAAAGATGTCTGATGCACAATTGTGGTGATATATGAGCCAGTCTGATCTGTAAATATAGTGAATTCCAGGCCAGGCTAGCTTATAGAATAAGATTTTGCCTTAAAAGTTACACACACTCAGCAAGCAAGCAAACAGGCACAAATATAAAAAGAGAAACTATATAGGCACTGTGGCTGAAGGGCCGAGGCCCTGTACAAGTCATCCTAGTGGGAATCCAATGCTACCCAGGGGTCTACAGGGACAAGCTGCCATGTAACATCCAGAATGCTGGGAAGAGGTGGCCAGGAACCAAGGATTCAGTGTAGCATACTATACCTGCTTCTCAATCACTGTACAAGGAGGGTAATGACACTCATAGTAAGTACAGGAATTCTCTTCCTCTTCAACCACATCCCCATTGGCATTATAGTACCGGGTCACATTCAGGACAGGAAATTGTTCTTCTATAGGGTCCGTGGGAAGCTGCTGGATTGCAAGCCAATATAAACTTTGCTCCCTGGAAGAAAGCAGAGGCCTCAGTGCACTGTGGCTGGATCAGGTCAGCACAAGAAAAGAGGATATGTGCCCCAAGACAGGTAGGCTCTGCCCAGTTCTGGCAACTTTGTGAGCTTCCCTGCCCATCACTACTGCATGTGCTTTATCACTCCACATTAGACATTTTAAATTCCAGGGGCAGAGAGTTAAAGTAGGATTGGGATTCGTGATGTTAAACTCACAAAGAATCAATAAAAAAATTTAAAAAAAAAATTTTTTTTTAATCCTACCACTGGGGAGGCAGACAGGAGAAACTTTCTGAGTTCAAGGCCACCCTGGTTGACACAGTTCTAGAACAGCCAGAGCCAAGTGAGAACTTGTCTCACTAAAATACTCTGTTCAGGACCCCTGACCAATTTTTTTTGAACCCTATCTCTCAGTAAGGCATACAGCACCACGACATAGTTTGGCAAGTTTAGCTACTCAATGCTGCCGGTAAGACCTTCATCCTACCTTTACCCTATGAAGCACCAACTCCTACTGTTAGCTTGCTACTTCTCCTTTTATGTTATAGCTATTCTGCCTTTCTGAAAATCCTTCTGAACAAGAGAGCCAGCCAGAATTAACTGAGTATTTTTCTTTCTTTCTTTCTTTTTTTTTTTTGAGACAGGGTTTCTCTGTGTAGTCCTAACTGTCCTGGATCTTTGTGCTCTCTGCTTACATTGTTTTTTCTTTTTTTGTGGCTGAGGATGCAAGCCATCAGCTTCCTGCTCTGGCTGCCATGCTTGATGCTTGTTCCATGCTTCCTGGTCATAATAGATTACTATCCATCTGAAACTATATCCTCAATAAACTCTTCCTTGAATTGCTTTTCATTATGGACTCATCACAACCACAGAAAATATAGAAATTAGTAAGACAGTAGGATATTGCGGTGACTTGGCCAGGTGTTTTGGGGAATTTTGTGGAAGTGTTTGAAACTCTAAGCTATAAAAGCCATTGAGCCAGGTGGGGTGGCTCATGCCTTTAATCCCAGGCACAGAGGTGGATCTCTGAGTTCAAGGCCAACCTGGTCTACACAGCAATTTCCAGGACAGCCAAGACTACACAGACTCTTTATGAGATAGAGTTTCTACCTATCTTTGAGTGCTACAAGCTTAATATGCTGTTTTAGAGAAGTTTGGCTTGAAAATTTGAGTTCCTCAAAGACTCTATTAAGACTGGAGAGATGGTTACGAGCACTAGCTTCTCTTTCAGAGGTCCTGAGTTCAATTCCCAGCAACCACATGTGGCTCACAATCATCTATAATGAGATCTGGTGCCCCTCTGGCATGCAGGTAATACAATACATCGTATACATAATAAATAAATCTTTTAACAACAACAAAAGAGATGTTCACATAATACATCTGAATTAAGGATCTGTGGTTCCTGGACAGCTGGGACAGAATCAGCTGTGATTAGCATCACTGAAGTGAAATCTTGTGTGAAATATTTCTCTCAGCACAGTTGTGGTCCAGAAGGGGCCAAGGCGCATCTCAAGCTGATAGCCAAACTCGGTAATGTGTAAAAGTCTCTCACACAGTAACTTGTGTTGACAGGATGGAAGCTTCAGAATTGAAGGGCTCACAGAGAGCAGCTGAGACAGGAGGCCATTGGGTAAGGTGCAGCCTCAGTTGGAAATGTCAGCAAATTGGAAATGCCAGGATTGTGGGATAAGCACCAAGGACAGCTGTATGTGTGGCCCAGACCTAGCATGAGAGACAAGATAAGCTGTGGTATGCTTAGGGAAATGGGGCAGCTGCTCCAAACCTTGTGTAGCCCATAAATTCTAAGTTAGTCTCAGATGAGTTATTTATACTGATTGTCTTTGGTTTTATATTGTGATACCAACATCAGATTCTAGAGACAACAAATAAAGAGTATGATGTTTGTGAAGTTAACAATGATCAATTGTGGTGGTTTAGTTTTTGTCAACTTGACACAATTATCACTTGGAAAGATGGAACTTCAACTGAGGAGTTACCTCTATCAGACTGGCCTGTGGACACTTCTGTGGGGGCACTTTCTTGATTGATGATTGATATAGGAGGGAAGAAATCACTGTGGGCAATATCATGCTTGGGCAAGTTGACCTAGGCTTTGTAAGAAAGCAAGCTGAGCAAGCCCTGGAGAGAAAGCCAATAAACAGTGCTCCCAAGTGGTCTCTGCTTTAATTCCTGCTTCCATTTCTGCCCTTAATTCCCTCAATGATGGATTATGTCACTGCTTTTGGTCATAGTATTTTATATTAACAGAAACCTAACTATGACTGCTGGTTGCCCATAGGTGAAATCCATTATTAGACTGTGCGGGCTTTGGAGAGGCATGGCTGGCTTCTGCATAAGAGCTGCTAACTCAGCCTTACAAGTTACTTGCTCTCATTCACAAGCAAATCAGGACACTGGACATCCTTCTCTGACCACATGTGCCCACAACATCAAGTACTCCCTTCCCCTCAACACACATTCATTCTTTCCTACTACACAGACAGACAAGACATGCTTCATGGATCCTGGTCTAATCTGGACCTGCCTCTTCCAGCAAGAACTACTTGCTTACCTGAAGGGCACAGCTTCAACCTATCTCCCAAAACTGGCTGAGGAAAAGAGCCAACAGGCCATCTGACCTCAGCCTTCTGCCTCCAGAACTGTAGCTGCCTTTTTCCAAATAGAGGTTTTTAACTGTATGTAGCTGTTATATCTCATAATCATAAATTGTATTCAGAAGATTAAAGATAGCATTCTGCACAGGATCCTGTGTGGAAGCCCTACTAAATAGGATATCTAACTTACCAGAGGTCAAGGTCAGTCTCAGTTTCTCAGCTACATAGGAAGCTGAAGCAAGCCTAAGACACATGAACCTCAACTTCAAAAAAAAAAAAAAAAAAGGTAGGGAAGGAAGTCGTTAAGACAGAACTGAAGACTCAAAAAAACTCATCAGAGTAGGAAACAAACCAAGCAGATTTGAAGTTTGATACCTTCTTGGGGCTGCCTTCATACTGCAAGAATAAAATAGCAGTCTGGCTAACTGTCTTCTAAGGACCTGGAGATCACACTATCAAATATAGAAGGCTAGATACTCCCACAGCTCCTATCTACCGTACACAAGGCTCTGGCATCACCTGAAGACATTCGCTACAAAGATCCACCCACTCTCTGTAACACCAACCTCCTCAATACAGTGGTGATGAGTGGCATCTGTTGGGGAGGTCAGTGCCAAAAAGACTTAAGAATATGTACAGAAACTTTCAGGAGCCCTTAGGGAAGGCCTAAGAGCAGGTCAATGGTACCTGTGTGGCTTGGGACTATAATTTCCCAACCATTTCCTGCTGGTCCCTCAGCTCTTTTCCAGGGCTTCATAAAGTTCCCTATTGTGAGTTCCAGGGTCAGCAGGAAGACTACCTCTAGAATACAAAGCCTGTGCAATGCTGTTTTGAAGACCACAGGGAACTGGGAAGCCAAGAGGCCAAGTCCCTAAGCCACTGGCCTACTACTTCCTTTAAACCACTGCTCAGGAAGCGCTGTTCAGCAACAGAATGTGACTGCGATCCACCCTGTCTCAAAGAACCATCTGTGTGGTCCTGTGGTATGGTCTCATCCCATCACATCTGCTAAAATGTTCCTACAGCCAACTACCACAAAATCAATCTCCAAAATTATCATAAATATTTTTCTAGGTAAGCATGAGGGTGTATACACACCTTTACTCCTAGCACAGGGGAGGCAGAAGAAGGATCTCTGTGAGCTCAAGGCCAGCCTGGTCTACACAGTGAGTCCCAAGATAGTCGGGGAGACCCTGTTTCCAAAACAAAATGTAAATAAATAAATCAATCTTCCCTGTTCCAAGAAGCAAAAAAAAAAAAAAAAAAAAAAACAAAAACCTACACACTGGCAGCGTCGGGTAGGATATCAAGGTCCCAAAGCACACATAGGAACACAAAAATATGGGATGGCCCTTTAAGTATCAGGTGTTGGCTAGGGAAGACCCACCTTTGTTTGCTGGAGGTCTCTTCAGCTTTGGGTCGCCAGGCCCATGGTACCAGCTGCAGGTTGTCCAGGCGATTGTCCACAGTCACAGCATTGAGATGTACCACCTGAAACCCGGGAGCCACACCTCCCCTATGTCGTTCCCTAGGGGAATACAATTCTTTTCTTGAGGAAAAGACCCTCAAGCACTTCTACTCAAGCATCAATGTCCAGAAATACCCATCATGTGGTCTGAACTGAGCCCTTATCCTGCTGAAGTAGCATACCAACTGGACATCAAGAACATCATCAGTCTATGGCCCACAAAGACAGGAGACTAGGCTAATGATTCTGTCCTGGATTTAAGGTCTGGGCTCAGAGGACAATGTATACAATACCCAACCAATAAAATTATCTAGAGCTAAGTTCCCCATTTAGACGGCCTCAACATTTCAAGCCCCACCTTATACACCCAGATCAACGGCCCATTTTCTAAGGATGTAACCTATGACTCACCAGAAGGGTCAAAAAGCAGAATCCCTTACTCCGCAAGTCTTGCCTCACCAGAATCCCACTAGGTATTTGAAGTGATATGTATGAACATTAGTCACTCTTTTGGGTTGGTGGCAAAGGTCACAAAATAGACTCCCAGATGCAGGGAAGATAAGGTTGAATCTGACTCTACTGGGTAGAATGCCTTTAGGCATATTGTGCATATAACAGCTCACATGGGGCTTAAGTGGGGACACATCAGCTGGAAAATACCCACCATAGCAGCTCATGCAGAAGCCTGCCCGAGCCTCTTCCTCGGTTTTTGTCAAAGGCATATGCAAATATCTTAGCACCATTTCCATCAGCATCTACTTCCATTCGAGCCTAAGAAGGAGCAGAGCAGAGTACGTCTTTTGGAAAGCCTTCAACTCTCAGCAACATTTCAAATATAGCTTAGAAAAATACCAGGGGTACAGGTGACATCCTGCTCCTAGGACCCCCAAAGTACAGGGGCTTCCTGATCTACTCAGGCAAGACACTCTCATGAACAACTTGTAAAATACTGTGGACACCATGAAGTAAAACTTCCTGTCCTTAAAAATGTTCAGAACACCTATAATCCCAGCACTCACAGATCTGTGAGTTCAAGGCCAGCCTGGTCTACAATGTGAGTCCAAGACAACCAAGGCTACACAGAGAAATCCTGTCTAGAAAAAGAAAAAAAAAGTTCAGAACAATCCAGGTGGTGGTGGCACATGCCTTTAGTCCCAGCACTTGGGAGGCAGAGGCAGACGGATCTTTATGAGTTCGAGGTCAGTCTGGTTTACAGAGTGAGTTGCAGGACAGCCAGAGCTGTTACACAAAGAAACCCTGTCTCTAAAAACAATAACAACAAAAAGAAAGACAGACAGACAGGAAGGAAGAAGGGAGGGAGAAAAGAAAAGAAAAGAAAAAAAAAAGAAAAGAAAAAACACAGATTAGGGATGGGGCCAGAGAGATGGCCCAGCAGTTAAGAGCACTGGCTGCTTTTTCACAGGACCCTGGGCTTGATTCCCAGCAACCACATGGTGGCTCACAACCATCCATGACCCTCGCACAGATATTCGGGTAAACATTAATATGCATACAATCAAAGTTAAAGCCAAGAAAAAAATACTTGGGTAAAAAAGCCTATAATGGCCTGGCGTAAATGGGCCCTCACCTCCCAAAAAAGACCCCAATCAGAGAGCTGGTAATTCTTTACCAAGAACACTAAGGGCAGGATGGCCTCCCGCTTAAGATGCAGAGGCTGGGGAAAAGCTACACCCAAAGATCTGTTCATTTGCTTTAATAGATATCTAATCACAAACACAACAAAGTAGAAAGTTTTCAAAAAGATTAGGAAGCAGGGTTAAAGAGGCAGCACAGGTTGTCACAACCTGTTTTGGAACTGCGGGCTCCTGAACACCAAACAACAGTAGTTCTTACCTCAAAGGAGTAGCTCTCCACCAGTGGTATGTCTTGCTCATCTATCAGTGTGTATTTGGTCTGAAAATAAACCATGTTTCAAAAGTTACTTCAAAAGTTGAGATCAACCTACAAAATAGTAACATTGTAACATGCAGCAACAAGAATCTGCAATACTTCAAACCAGAAAGTAGCCACATCTTATGCGGGATCTTGCTCACATAAGTCGGATCCAGTCTGCTAAAAGCAAAACATGACTTCATAACCAGAGTGGGCTAATTAGATTTCGGGTTCCATCCACACCGGATAGACCCTGCCTGACAAAGTGGTACTGAGCTTTTAATGCACCCAGAAACTCACTCAAAACACAAGTCTAGTGGAGTAAAGGAAGGGAATGGGACTAAGATTCTGTCCCAGAACACCCAGGTTCTATCATTCAGTAAGCTGGGTAGTTATTGCACGTACTCACTGGATATCCCTTCTTCATCTGGTCTCAAATATTCCTAATGAAAGTTTTAATGGCCCAGGCTCCTGCAAATAATTCCCTAGTTAGAAAAGTTCTAGCAGTCCTTCCCTGAGTTCTTGCAGAAATAATGGAAAAGTCCTCAAGACAGGTTGGTTTTACTTTCCTGGAAGCACTTTCTAGAATCTGTTACCTGCCTCTACTTTTCTGTCTGTTCCTCTCACCCACTAGCAACTGCAGCCAGTGCTGGAAAGAACAGACTTAAGGTCCAGTCCCTGAACAGCACCAAGACTCAGAGACCAGCTTCAACATGTGGTGGGTGGTGGCGAGCACTTGAGAGCCTCTAAGCCTATCAAGGGCCCTGGCTCCTCGTCTGTGCTCTAGGGACGCCTGCGACTCGAGTGACCGAACGTGGCCAACCTTTGGGCAACGTTAAAACACGTCGCCGAAGGCTACTGCGGACCGACCGCTCCGCTCGCCTCAGAGCTTCGGGCCGAGAGCGTCACCGCCGAAGGCCGCCGTGTTTAAACCGTGCGGCCACAGGTGCAGCTCGGGCCGCCAGAGCCGACGCAGGTGCCCGGAGAGGCCCGGGCTGAAGGCCGGGAACTGTTCGGCGCCAGCTAGTCCCACACGAGTCCTGAGGCCGAGGGGCGCGCCCCCGGCCGCGAGGAAGGCGGCGCCCGGACCGAGCAGGGCCCGCGCAGCTGCTCGGGCGGGTGCCCCAGCCCACGCAGGCCTCGCCGCCGCTCCACACCGCTCACCTTCCCGGCCACCCGGCCGAGCCGCACGATGCCCAATTTAAAGTCGGTCATGGCCGGGCCTGCGCTCTCGGCAGGCAGAGCCGCTCCCTCGGGAGGCTCCCGACCGGGCCGGGCCAAAGAGAGGCCGCGGCACTCCGGGTCAGGCCGGGGCCGGGGTCAGGCCGGGCGGGCCGCGGGCGGACGAGGCTGGGCCGGGCTCGGGCCACCGCCGCCGCCTCGCGCCCGCCAGACCTGCCACGCGCCGCCGCTACCGCCGCGCGAACCCCAGCGAGCAGAGCAGAGGGCGGAGCGCGACCGGGACACACCCCCCACCGGCGGCGGCCGACCAATCGTGGGACGCGCCCTTCGCCGGTCGTGGCGCGCCGCGCCAAGTGACCAATGGCAAATAGAAAAGGAGCGCAGGCGCAGTGAAAGAGAACCAAGTGCGGGGGAGGGGCGGACCGGGGGCGGCGCCTGCGCGGCGGCCGGCGCGGCGGCCGGCGCAACGTCAATTTCGCGGGAAGCTTTGTGAGCTCTGCGGCGAAGCCTGAGGCGGCGGAGTAGGCACGCTTCGTCGCGGCTGTTTCGTGATACTCGCCGCTTGCTTTCTCGTCTCAGCGGTGTGCGGTGTGGAACGTCTGACCTTACCTGCTCCCTACGGGCTGACAGGATGATGTGTGAGAGTGGTCCAAGCCTCCACAATCAACCTTCCAGGCGGCAGCCAGTACCTTCTTCGTGCTTCCCAGATCCCATGCCCCTTAGGTCTCCTTAGAAGGATAAAACCTAGCTAGCGTAAGAAGCCGGAGGCTATGGTGGGAAAGGAGTCTCCGGAGAAGGGAGACCTCGTAGTCTGCAATTAGCTGCTAAGGGCTATAGTTCACGCCCGGGGCTAGACCCCACCTGCTTCAAGGTGACCCCCAGGCACCTGAGGACCTGCAGCAGTTTCTAGCTCTCATTGTTCTGTTTTGGAATTACCAAGAGCAAAGGATTGTCATGAGTGAAGCTAGAACTTCTCTCAACCCTTGTTACTTCACAGTACTTCCAGATGCTGTGCTGTTCAACGCACCTGCCTGTCAGCCTCTTCAGACTGATAGTTAAGAAAAAGCTTTTCAGGAAGAGGTGCGATGCTTAGGATGGAGCAGAGTGTGTTCCCTGGTTAAAAACAAAACAAAGAAAAAAAAAAGTTTGCCTTAATGCAAGTTCCTCCAAGACAGTAATTCAGCACATCCGCATTACTTGAAAAGAGACCCCAGGATACACCCGTTAGATCAAAGAGCCTGTCCCTGTACAGGAGATCAGCCATGCCTTATACCTTATCCAGTCCCTTCCTTAAGCTGATGAGTATGAGGTAGCCCCAAAGTGGAGTACAACAGTAAGATTAGCTCCTAAATTGTGGCTTTACAACCTGTTCACTTCCTTCACTAATCTAAACTCAAGAATACCTACCTCTGAGCTCAGACACTCTTTCCCTTTAAAGGAAGACATAATAGATGTAAATATTATAGTTTTCTTTATTCTTCAGTTACTACTTGATCTCCACCATATTCCAGCTTCCCTCACTACAAATGACTTTCATTACCTTTGTTAGGTTATTTAGATGTATGAGTGTTTTGCCTGCATGTATGTGTGTGTATCATGTGTGGAGTCCTCTTGGAGACCTGAGGAAGGTGTTTAAATCTTCAGGAACTAGAGCTAATGTTTGTGAGCCTGCATGATGGTGCTAGGAACTGAATCTAGGAGTCAATGCTCTTAACCACTGAGTCAACTTTCCAGCTCTGCGGCTGGCATTATTAAAGGACCTGATCACCTGAACACATTTCAGTAAGTCATTCTACCCAACCTAGATAATAATTACTGAAAACGCCAGGCATGGTAGTGCATGCTTCTAACCCTAGCACTGGGGAGGCAGAGTCTGGTAGTGGATCTCTAAGTTTGAGGTCAGCGTAGTTTACATAGTGGGTTCCAGGACAGCCAGAGCTACATAGTGAAGACCTATTTTGAGAAAAACAACAGCAAAAGTACCTAAGGTTGGGTAATTTATTTCTTTCTTGTTTTGTTTTGCTGACCATTTGCATCCTGTTCCCCCATCCCCAGCACTCAGGAGGCAGAGGCAGGCAGATCTTAGGTTGAGGCCAGCCTGTTTTACAGCGTGAGTTCCAGGGCTACACAGTGAAACTCTTGTCTTGAAAAAAATCAAATCTATCCATGAGGAAAGAACTCTAATTACCCCATCATCCTTGGAAACTGTTTCATTGGGGCCTAAATTTAAACATGATTTTGAAATTTTTACATTTATTTATTTTTTGAGTGCATGTGTCAGAAGACAACTTTTGGGCATTGGTTCTCTTTTATGTGAGTTGTGATGATCAATCTTAGGTCATCAAATGTGGTGGCAAGCACTTTTAGCCACTGAGCCATCTTGCCAGGTCTCGATTTCTTTCTTTCTTTCCTTCTTTCTTTCTTTCTTTCTTTCTTTCTTTCTTTCTTTCTTTCTTTCTTTCTTTCTTTTTTTTTTGAGGCAGGGTTACCAGGCTGACCTTGAAATAGCTCTTCTACCTCAAACCCTCTAAGTGCTTGGAGATTTGAGGTGTGTACCAGCCTCAACTACATAGTGAGTTCCATAGAGAGAACATGTCTCAGTAAATAGATAGATGCATAGATAAACAAGTAAATAGAAATGTAAAAAAATAAATCATTTTTGTAGCTGGGTTTGCTAGCTCATGCCTTTAATTCCAGTACTTGAGAAACAAAGCAAGTGGATCTCTGTGAGTTCAAGAACAAGGCTAGCCTACATAGTAAGGTCCAGGACAGCCAGGGTTACAGAGAAAGACTGTCTCAAAAAGGGGGGAGGAGGGCTCAGTGGTTAAGAGTACTGACTGCTCTTCCAGAGGACCCAGGCTCAGTTCCCACCAACCACATGTCAGTTCAGAACTGTCTGTAACTCCAAGATCTGTCATCCTCATCCTCACACACAGATATACATGCAGGCAAAACATCAATGCACATAAATTAAACATATATATATATATATATATATATATATATATATATATATATATATA